AAAACAAAAACCACCCCGAGGGGGAAAAACATAACTATAAAACAAACACTCAAACAAACTTGGATGGGCTGGCAGGACAAACAGGACTGGATAGCACAGGACAAGGAAATAACGACGACGAACTGGCACAGGACTGAAAACATGAGGGGATTATAAAGCAAAAGTAAATTGACACACAGGTGAACATGACAAACTGATGAGTTAACAAGGAGGGTGGGACTAGACAATAGATAGGAGAGCGCATGACACAGAGAGACAACACAAGCCATGCGCTCACATAAAACAGGACCAGAACATGCAGCCAATGAGAGCACTCATTAACCGCATGTTCATGACAAGACAAACACAACACTAAAGCACACGACAAAAGCACGTGACCACAATGTAAACGCCGAGCCACGTGCTTCAACAAGAGACGCAAGACACGAGCACACGATAGATAAACACCTTCCCGTGCGCTCACACATAAGCAACGCATGCTTCATCTCAGCGCCAACCAAAACTGAAACCAACTAGACGGAGGCGCCGAGAATAAAGCAGCGCGATGCTGACAGAACAATGACTGTAAAAAATATGGACGACGCGACAGCCCTTTTTCCCATTGAACGCCTTGAGGGCAAAACGCCTGCTTGACGGGCACAAACTGTCGCAAAAGACTGCTGAAATTGGAGCCTTGACATGCGCAGAAGGACTGTCTGATGGAGCCAGAGGAGGAGCCGCGAAAATGAGCGGAGTCGAGCTTCCAACCAAACGCTTTATGTAAAATCAACTACGCCCCCCGAACTTCTCAGCATGCGTTTGCTGTCATATCAACACAAATGGATGTAATAACGTTAACAAATATGAGGGTTTTATATATTCAATCGCGCCAGCTCCGGACCGCAGCGCATAACCTACTCGCGGCGTCGCGGGCTGATTCCGGCTCGCATGTGGCAGCGCCGGCTCGCTCGGCCGCCACATCTGGCTCGATTGACTCGGGCTGGAATCGGGTAGTGATGCCAGGCATCCGGAGTAGGTCCAGCAGAGGTAGTCATTCTGAGCTCTAAGGCATAAGTCTCCGGCAGGCGAGAATCTAGCCGGAACTGTGTTTTGCTATCTGGGTGGTTAGGCGTGTATCAGCAAACTAATAAAGCCCGAAAAAAGCCTTGAACTTAGCGAATAAACAGTGTTCCACCAGATCATGTATGTCAAAAACTGTAGTTTACTGCTGAACTCATTTTGTCATGGTAAAATAACACAGAAATCGAATAATAACACTTCAGTCTCCTGCCGAAGCTCAGACGCGCTGCTTTGAGAAACTGTCAATCACAGCTGTCAATCACGATGACACGCCCAGCATTAAATTACTGCTAAAAACAAACTGTTTACAAAAATGAAGATCTGCACCTATTTCAGCACAATAACCAGTGCCTTAATCGACCAGAACCATCTTTCGGGACATTTTATTGTAAGTGTAATAATTTTTTTTATTTGGGCTCAAGTCTCCTTCATTAGGGCGGGCTTTATGACTTGTACTGCAGCCAGCCCCCAGGGGGCGATCTAACGGCCGAGACCTTCACTCAAACGCAGGCTTGCGGCACACTTGTGACAGAACAAACACTAGTACGAGAGCGCGCGCGTCTGAGGGACGCAGAGCGTACACCCTGCGTACACTCACGACGGCGCGCGCACACAGAGACAGAAACAGGACCAGACATGGGTAGTGTCAGAGCTGTGCCACCAAAACAAGAATTTACAAGACCAGAGTGGCAGAACCCTACGGAACCCCGGAAGGGACGTAGTGGGGGAGAAAAAAATGGGTGGTTGAAAAAAAAATAATGGGTGAAAGAAAAAAAATGGGTGGGAGGAAAATATATATTTCTAAGTTTTTTGCGTTCTCTCGCAAAGTTTTGCGTTCCCTCGCAAAGATGTTTTGCGTTATCTCGCAAAGATGTTTTGCGTTCCCTCGCAAAGATGTTTTGCGTTCCCTCGCAAAGATGTTTTGCGTTATCTTGCAAAGATGTTTTGCGTTATCTTGCAAAGATGTTTTGCGTTATCTCGCAAAGATGTTTTGCGTTATCTTGCAAAGATGTTTTGCGTTATCTCGCAAAGATGTTTTGCGTTATCTTGCAAAGATGTTTTGCGTTATCTCGCAAAGATGTTTTGCGTTCTCTCGCAAAACTATTTCTCCACAAACACTTCCTGTTCACTGCACTCACGTAAACCCTCCCATTTTTGCCGAAATTCTCCCGTATTTTACCATTCTATCCCACTTTCTTTACATTACTGTGCATGCTACCTATGAACCAGTGAATGCATGTATAAGCGCTGACTGACAGACGCGCTTCGTGCAATAAACTGATCCCAGATCAGCGTCTGTACACGCCATTTACAGAGGAGCGGGTGTATGTTTAAACAGACAAATACACTGAATAATATGAAACATCTCCATCCTGCATGTTTTATTTTAAACAGCTTATTTTCTCTTAAATGAGCACAAACAGTTTCTAAAGTAATGGACTGCTTTCATTATAGATCTGTGCATTCTTACAGAGACACCTCTGTTATCAAACTAAACAAAACATGAGATTCATTTGCTGCGCACTTGTTTGATAACAGAAGTGTCCCTTTAAATGGCGCGTACAGACGCTGATCTGGGATCAGTTTATTGTATGGAGCGCGTCTGTCAGTCAGCGCTTAAACATGCATTCACTGGTTCAGAGGTTGCAAAGTGAAAGGCGACAATCAGCGCACAGTAAAGAAAGTGGGATAGAATGGTAAAATATGGGAGAATTTCAGCAAAAACGGGAGGGTTAACGTGAGTGAAGTGAACAGGAAGTGTTTGTGGAGAAACATCTTTGCGAGGGAACGCAAAACATCTTTGCGAGGGAACGCAAAACATCTTTGCGAGATAACGCAAAACATCTTTGCGAGGGAACGCAAAACTTTGCGAGAGAACGCAAAAAACTTAGAAATATATATTTTCCTCCCACCCATTTTTTTTCTTTCACCCATTATTTTTTTTTCAACCACCCATTTTTTTCTCCCCCACTACGTCCCTTCCGGGGTTCCGTAGAACCCTGACACTATGAGCACAGACTTATATTTTTCAGTCCAAGTGCTTCCGGTCATCTGTTGAGCATTACAAACTTTTTGATTTCTTATTGAAATCAGGGATCTTCACTGCCTGATTGATATACAGTATAGAGTGGGTCTCAGATCGGACAGGATGCACTCCATTAAATTACTTTTCCCCCATTGTAAGAGGCTAAATTCATATGCAAATGCATTTGTTTACATAACAAAGCATGTCTTTCATCAAAGAAAGTCCATACTGACTCCAAAGGCAGATACTGATAAGATCAGGGCCTGGTGTGTGGACTTTGGGTGTTTTATGATGTGTTCACATGTTGATTGGTCAGTTTGAATGTCTCAGCATTTGGGGTGTAGTCACATGGTCAAGAAAGATACAAAATAGGTGTAAAACTCTGCTCCGTCTCTTTTCCTGGCCCTCTCTTCGCTCTGCTCTGCACCTCTCCTCCTCTGGAGTCTATCTTCTCTGCCTCTTTGAGGCCTCTTTGTCTCCCCCGGATTGCCTCTCCTTCTACCTCTGGTAACTTTAATTTTGTCATTTCATGTTTTATCATTTTAAACAGTTATTTGTAATTAATTCAGTTGTAACTATAGCGAGTTATTGTCATTAAATTATCTCATTTTCAAGTATTTGTGAATTACTTTTGATTTAACATCAACATTTATTTGTTCCTGTTACATGCCTGGGGGTGGTGCTCTGTTGTTCCCTCCTCCCCTTTCTGTTTCTATTTGCTGTCTCCTGTACTTCTAAAATCTAGGTGTTCCAATTGGGTGAGTTCTCCCGAGTGGACCAATCAGAAGAGGATGGGTGTTATTTAAACGCTCCAGTGATGACTCAGCTGAGATGAGAGGGGGATCCATGTTGCTGCTGTGTTTGTTTGTGTAACTTTTGGTGCCTATCTTGTGCTCTGGTTCGCTTTAAAGAGAGTTTGTGATTTAAAAGTACCTAGAGGGAAGTGAAAGGGAAGTATGTCACGTGACTTACATTTTACACACACGTAGCAGATTTTTTTTGTTATTCCATTAGGTTAGAAGCGGGTGCTACCATATGTATGTTTGTTCCCGTCAGTGCAGTTGAGTAAGGGGCGTGTGACGCTGAAGATGTTTTTTATTATTATTTACATATTTCTCTTTAGTTATTTAGAGGTGGGGGAGGGATTCGTTAGCGGGTGTTTAATTTGTTATTTTCTTTGATTTGGCACAGCTTATTCTCCTTCCCTCCATCAGGTATGTTTGTTTACTTTTTGCATTTATTATACATATTTGTAAATGTACTTTGGGTGATTTAAATATTAATTTCTTTATCTTTATTGTAAAAGCTAACCACTTTTTTGCCACGTTGTTGTCTGTGTTGATTCATAGCAGTTAACATCTCAGGGGAATTCTTAAAATATTGGGTAGTCATAATTATGTTAAGCCCTTTTTCATCCTCCGAGCCACACGGGGCGTAACAGTTCCATACTGCAATACAATCACATAAAAGCAACGCTCTCCCACATTAATAGCTATTAATCTTGCCCTTGTTTCCATTTTTGGTGTAAGATTGCAAAAGAATGGTTTGACTAGAAATGTACAGTTTTTTTTACCATCATGCTGATTACTTTTTAGTCATTCGGCAAAACCACAGTTCGAACCGCTGTGGTTTAAACCCGTTCTTACACCGTCATGTCTTTTTTACTCCAGTATTCTCAATGATGTTTTTGTGCTAGCCTGCAGCTACTGATGGCACTTACGTTTACAAGGTCTCAAATCTCGTTTTAAACTTGAACAACTAAATGAATAATGAAGTCTATTTAACTGATTGTATTTTAATTACATTACAACATCGATGCTGTAAAAGAAACCTTATCAAATTCACCAGAAGTCTATTGTTGGCTTAAAAACACTAGCTGTTTGTTAAAGATTGGCTGAAGAAATAAAGTCCTGACCTTGCGCCCCTCCAGGGTGTACAGTCTCTTGACGTGACACTGCATGAGCTCTGAAATCTCCTCCGTAAAGACTCGAAGACTGCGAGCGGTTCGTCGACTCAGAATAATAGATCGGCGAACAGCGGGGTCACTGTTTTTCACGAGAATAATCCTTTTGGGGTGCCGATGATGGTGGTGTTGGTGTCCTGATAGGGGTTCATCAGGTCGGGACGGCTTTCGGCGGGTGTTATTTGGATGGCTATGGTGGTGCCAGACCGCCTGCCTTTTTCCTACTTCTTCCATGTTGATTGGTTTTACATATCGGCGGTCGGAGCAGAGATAACACCCTCCATCCTCGAACTGCTCTAAATGTTTAATGCTGTGGGTTCCTCTGGGCGTTGTGATGGTACGTACACCGAAAGGCAGGGGAACCTTTTGAGAAAGGTCATCCAGTAAGGCATCAAAGCATTTGAAGGTGCGTTTATGGACGGCCATCTTGACGCCTTTGAACTGGGAGTCGCCGCTCTTGTAGAAAGTAATTCTCTTGACTGGACTCGATGCAGTCACGATGGAGCCGAAAGATGATGTTGGAGGATGAGGAAACTGATAGGGTTCATTGTGGAAATGGGGATCAGCGTCGAAAAAGCCTTGAGCCGTCCTCTGCATCTCTCATCCACATCAGATCACACTGCAAAAAAAAAAAAAAGAGTTTGGGACATGAATAGTTATAATAGTTGCAACCGGTATTGACTATTGACACACACTCAACAAAAAAATAAAAAATACGTTGGCTGTTTTTTTAACCTGCACTGTAAAAAAAATTCTGGTTGCCTTAAATCTTTTAGCTGATACAAATTAACCTTTTGAGTCCATTGAACTTATATTATGTTAAACTGACTTAAAACAGCGTGTGTAACCTATAAAATTAAGTTACAACATGATAAACTTAGTTTAATACAATACAATGACCAGAAAACATATGCTGTCAGGACTTTCCGTCATTTAATTTTTTACAGTGTACTTATTCAAATGAGTTGAAACAACAGAATTCTGCGGCAACTCAATTGTTTTATGTTCGATCCACTGAAATTGTCAAAACAAATAAGTTAACTAACTTCCTTCATGATTTCTCAACACAAATGAACTGTGTGTGTTACACCTGGCTCAGGGATGTAACATAATGAGGGAGACGACAAGGTGAAGTATAATCAAGAAGATTTATTTATTTAAAATATTCAGAGATGATTCCTTGGATTTACTAATTTTTTTACGTTCAGTGGTTGTAAACAATTTATTTGTGTTGAATTTAAACAAACAAATTAAGTTGAACATTATTAAACTTCATTTGTTTAAATTCAACACAAATAAATTGCAACAGTTTTGCATGCAACACTTTTTTCAGTGTATTTTGTATTGCTGAACTTTGCCTTTAGAGACTTTTATCATTTCTAAATCTCTGATTTAGTGATTTATTTATTTTTTTCAAGGATCTCACTTCGTCCTATTCATTAGCATTTAAGTATGGATAGCATAGGATTTAGCTTTGGGAGAATTAAGTAAGAAATATTGATCTTATATTGTGGAATATTTTGATTATAATCTGTGGTTTTTCATTATTTGAATCTGTATTTAATCACATTTCTCTCTTAATTCATATTTTGTGACTGTAATTGAAAAAATACTGAAAGTCTTTGTTAATTTTAAAGTGAGATTTTAAAGCCAGATGCTAATGGTCTAATTCAATTCAATGATTCATGCTTCAGACCTGTAGATTGGCTGAATGGATTTTAAAAATGGTTAAATTTGAGGATTTTTAATATGAGCCTATTTGTAAAATTAGCCTATTCAAGCAGTTACAGAGATATACAATTGAAGTCAGAATAATTAGCCCCCCTGAATTATTAGACCGCTTGTTTATTTTTTCCCCCAATTTCTGTTTAACGGAGAGATTTTTTCAACACATTTCTAAACATAATAGTTTTAATAACTCATCTCTAATAACTGATTTATTTTATCTTTGTCATGATGACAGCAAATATTATTTGACTAGATATTTTTCAAGACACTTCTATACAGCTTAAAGTGACATTTAAAAGCTTAACTAGGTTAATTAGGTTAACTAGGCAGGTTAGGGTAATTAGACACGTTATTACCCTAATATATATAATACAATACAAGTATTATATTATAATACAAGTAAATAATTTTGCCCTTAAAATGGTGTTTAAAAAAGTTAAAAACTGCTTTTATTCTAGCCAAAATAAAACAAATAAGACTTTCTCCAGAAGAAAAAATATTATCAGACATACTGTGAAAATGTCCTTGCTCTGTTAAACATCATTTGGGAAATGTTTTTTAAAATAATAATCAAAGGGGGGCTAATAATTCTGACTTCAACTGTATAAACCAATATTAATTGTATTTAATTATTTATACAATGAAGACTCCACACTGTAAAACCCAAAAAGTTAAGATAACTCAAACCATTTGACAAAACCGATTGCAACAAACCATTTAAGCTCAAAAAGTAATCCTAATGAGTGCTGTGAACTTAATCCATTTGAGTAAATGAAGCAATTTGAGCACAGTAAAGCCTGATAAACGAAGAGAACTCAAACCAGCTGAGTACAACAGTATAACAGAAAGGAGTTACAGTAGTTTTTGCCTTGATTTGCTCACAGATGTCTTCTGCATTGTCCTCTGTTTACATTTAAAAAATCTGATTCATTTACAGCATTTAATTGAAACATGCTTTTTTGTAGCTCAGCAATAAAACAAACAAGGTTACGTCGAATTAGAAAAGACGATCTCTTTTGAAGGCATTCGCCTCTCCATCATTCTCACTCTTTTTCATATGGGAGGTGGGCCAAATCAAAGGTTACACCGGGCCAGCTTTGGCCCACGGGCCCTACATTGGACATCTTTTCTCCACACTATTAGTGTTGGTTTATATATTATTATTGAGTTTTTGTGCCTCAATGCTGTTAGATTCCAAAGAAAACCCTTGTTAATTTGTATCAGTTCCATTGTGTTGTATTTTATGCAGATACTCCTCTACAAAGTAACACCAATCAATATAAAATCACTAATTAATTTAATCTAGAGATATAAATCATCTTGCGAAATGATATTCAGATCGCAATATATATATATATATATATACATTAATATATATATATAGTCTGTTTAGTAAAAAGACCTTGGTGACATGGTGACTGCACTGTCGCCTCACAGCAACAAGGTCGCTGGTTCAAGTCCCGGCTGGGTCAGTTGGCATTTCTATGTGGAATTTGCATGTATTTCCCATGTTGGTGTTTCCCCCACAGTCCAAAGACATGCACTACAGGTGAACTGAAAATTCTAAATTGGCCAAAGTGTATAAGTGTGTGTGGGAATGAAAGTGTATGTATGTTTCCCAGTACTGGGTTGCATCCGTTAAGTAAAACATATGCTGGATAGGTTGGCGGTTCATTCCACTGTGGTGACCCCTGATGAATAACAGAGGGCCAAAAGAGAATGAATGAATGAAAAAATGAGATTAAAAATGGGAAAAAGTGGTGTTCCTTTAAACTCTCCTGAAATGTTCACACAGTCACAGGCCTTAAAAACTTTCACTCCATTATGGAAGTGTGGCTCTTGGCAGGCCCAGATTGGCTAATCAGGAGGACGCTGAGAATTCCCGGTGGGCTGGTCTGTTTATTGGCCACTAGGGCCGATGTCCCTTGCTGCTTGCAGCAATCGCACTTTATTTGTCTATTTATTTATTTGACCATAGCCTCACTCTTTTATTCATTATTTTGCCGCAGCCCCACTCTTTTTATTTTCTCGCAGCCCCATGAGCAAAATGCAGCCTGCAGCTCATTCTACCCCAAACAGCGGCACCTTGGTGAAAATAAGAATTTGAATAACATATATTAATGCAGTTGTTCTCAAACTTTGGTACGTGTACAACTAGTGGTACGTGGGCTTCCCTCTTATATGCGGAGGAATGAAATATGTCATGTACATGCTACATATATTTCAAAATTTATCAAAAATGTGTATATAATATGCCATATATGACATAGTCTATATTTCTGAGGTAATCTGCCACGGTTTTTTAACTGTGCAGAGTTGTAGCTGCTTTATTGGGCCTACTACGCTACTGTATTTCAATACTGCTCATTTTGGTGGTACTTGGAGAGACAATTTTTTTCTAAGGTGGTAGTTGATGAAAAAAGTTTGAGAACCACTGTATTAATGAATATTACACCTGCTCAATAAAAATTAGATGATTCACTACATTAATAAATCTGTTATTTCAGGTGCACCATATAACAGCGCCATTGTGGTCAGCAGTTCGAACCTCACCTGAATAATTTTTCGTTTTTGTGTGTGTTAAGACATACAACACTGTTTGGGTTACTTATGTAGGTGTAAATATTTTATTTTTAGTTTTTGTGCGATCACCGTTACAAAGGACTGGATATCCATAAAGAATTTAGCACAGAATATATATTCAGATATAGGAAAGGACATTTTGATGTTTTTAAAGAATAGTGTTGGAGATTTAGCCACCTTTTAATGTTCTCACATTTATGAAAAACATTTGAAGTTGGATGTTTCCTTGAGGAAGACGTGATCATGTCATTAGAAACTGAATTGGAAATTACGCTATTTTAATATATGTGTCGTGAACTGAGGTGAGCCGGTCTAAGGCTGGAAACTCCAGGGCTGAAAAGGAGTCCCACTCCGGCCCTGGCTCCTGGTCAACACGGAGTCTTCATTGTATAAATAATTAATTACAATTAATATTGGTTTATACAGTTAAAGTCAAAATTATTACCCCCCCCCTTTGATTATTTTTTTTTTTTATATTTCCCAAATGATGTTTAACAGAGCAAGGAAATTTTCACAGTATGTCTGATAATATTTTTTCTTCTGGAGAAAGTCTTATTTGTTATATTTTGGCTAGAACAAAAGCACTTTTTAATTTTTTAAACACCATTTTAAGGGCAAAATTATTAGCCTCTTTAAGCTATTTTTTTCAATAACGTTATTCAATAACGTGTCTAATTACCCTAACCTGCCTAGTTCACCTAATTAACCTAGTTAAGCTTTTAAATGTCACTTTAAGCTGTATAGAAGTGTCTTGAAAAATATCTAGTCAAATAATATTTGCTGTCATCATGACAAAGATAAAATAAATCAGTTATTAGAGATGAGTTATTAAAACTATTATGTTTAGAAATGTATTGAAAAAATCTGCTCTCCATTAAACAGAAATTGGGGGAAAAATAAACAGGGGGGCTAATAATTCTGACCTAAATTATATATCTCTATAATTACTTGAATAGGCTAATTTTACAAATCGGCTCATATTAAAAATCCTCAAATTTAACCATTTTTAAAAATCCATTCAGCCAATCTACAGGTCTGAAGCATAAATCATTGAATTGGATTAGACCATTAGCATCTGGCTTTAAAATCTCACTTTAAAATTAACAAAGACTTTCAGTATTTTTCCAATTACAGTCACAAAATATGAATTAAGAGAGAAATGTGATTAAAAACAGATTTAATTAATGAAAAACCACAGATTATAATCAAAATATTCCACAATATAAGCTCAATCTTTCTTACTTAATTCTCCCAAAGCTAAATCCTATGCTATCCATACTTAAATGCTGATGAATAGGACAAAGTGAG